ATGGTGTATTATTGGGAACGCCTTGCACGTCCTGGTCTCGGGCTCTCCGGATTGGTCTTCGTACCTCTCGTGGGCCCATGGGCACGCCTGACCTGTCCGAACGCCACCAGCGCATGGTTGACATCGGCAACGCGTCTCTGACCTTCGCAGTTGCCATCATTCACCTTTGTCGTAAGCATGGCATTCCTGTTGGCTTGGAGAATCCTCGCTCCTCAATCCTGCGGCTCGCGCCGCCGCCTGCCTCTCTCCTCAGCGCCGAGGACTGTCGGATCCACCATTTCGACCAATGTGCGTTTGGTTCCTCTTGGAAGAAGGCTACTACCGTGGCGCTGTGGGGCGCTGGTCTCTGTGATGATCTTTGTCGGGGTTGCGGTGGCCGCCAAGGAATTTGCGGACGCACCGGGCGCCCGCGCGTGATCCTTGTAGGTCGAGATTCCGGGGCCTCTGCAAAGCGCACGGCCCTCGCGGCCGCATGCCCCAAGAAAATGGCTGCTGTTGTGGCCCAGCACCTGCTTGAGGTTGCCCAGGACCTCGAGTCCTCCAAGTCGTTCGGAAAGGCGTGGGAGGTGGCGGCCTGACGGCCATTTCACCACTCGGGAGATTGGGGACGGGCTTGGCGTCCAGATCGCCAGCCTGCTGGCCTCTTCTCTTGCCGGCGGTCGAACAGCGTCGACTTCGCAATCGCCGCAGTGTCTCGATAAAGAAAAGGGTTGGGGCCCAAAGTGAACCTCGCACCATAGCTTGTAGTCCTTGGGGTGTCTCGTTGGGCCCCGAGCTTTCTCAGTCTCCAGCCTGGCGTCGAGGGGCGTTTCTGGCGCCCCCCACATTTCAATGTTTAAGCAAGAAGAATAGAGGAGGGACGCCGAACCGCAACGTTCGGCTCAAGCGACCCGACCCTCCCACCCTAATTCGGATTATGTTTCTCAGTTGGGGGTTCGGCGTCCAGATCGCCAGCCTGCTGGCCTTTTCTCTTGCCGGTGGTCGAACAGCGTCGACTTCGCCATCGCCGCAGTGTCTCGATAAAAAAGGGTTGGGGCCCAAAGTGAACCTCGCACCATAGCTTGTAGTCCTTGGGGTGTCTCGTTGGGTCCCGAGCTTTCTCAGTCTCCAGCCTGGCGTCGAGGAGCGTTTCTGGTGCTATATATATATATGTGTGTGTGTGTGTGTGTGTGTGTGTGTGTGTGCGTGTGTGTGTGTGTTTATGCATCTATGCATGCGTATCGGAGGTGAGGGGTGAGATCGAAGTGGAACGGAGAGCCCTACCGGGATATCGGTTTCGGTTTCGTGTTCGTGCGTGCCGCGCGCGCGGGCGAGGCGAAGCCGCGTGGGCGGGCGAGAAATAAGTCTCCTGTAGCTGAGGCGCGGACAGACCAGAAGTCTCCGTTCTAGCAACCGGTGCCCCGCGGTGTCCCGCCGGTGCCCCGCTCGGGGGCCAGTGGCGCGCGGTGTCCCGCCAGTGTCCCGCCGGTGTCCCGTCGGTGTCCCGATGATGATGGTGATGATGATGATGTTGATGATGTTGACGATGATGCTGATGATGGCGATGGTGGTGATGATGATGGTGTCCCGGTGATGATGATGTTGATGATGATGATAATGATGATGATGTTGACGATGATGATGATGATGATGGTGGTGATGGTGATGGTGCCCCGATGATGGTGATGATGTTGGTGAATATGATGTTGCTGATGGTGATTATGGTGCCCCGATGCGAATGATGATGATGATGATGATATTGGTGATCGTGATGACGTTGATGATGACCAAATGATCTAATGATGATGAAGATGATGATGGTGTCCCGATGATGATGATTATGATGCTGTTGATGCTGATGATGATGATGGTGTCCTGATGATGATGGTGATATTGATGATGATGACTATGATGGTGTCCCAATGATGCTGATGTTGATGATGAGGATGATGATGAGGTGATAGTGATGATTTTGATGATGGTGGCCCAATGATGGTGATGATGCTGATGTTGTTGATGATGATGGTGATGGTGTCCCGATGATGTTGATGATGATGGTGATGATGATGGTGGCGATAATGATGGTCTTCTGATGATGATGATGATGATGATGATGACGATGTTGATGACCATGATGATGCTAATGATGATGATGGTGTCCCGATGATGATGATTCGGATGATGTTGTTCATTCTCATGATGATGAGGTGATGATGGTGGTGTTCCGATAATGATGATGACGGTGTCCCGATGATGCTGATGATGTTGATGATGTTGGTGATTGTGACGATGATGGTGTCCCGATGATGATGCTGATGGTTCGGATAATGATGTTGACGGTGATGGTGATGAGGTGGTGATGATGGTGGTGTACCGATGATGATGATGATGTTGATGATGATGATGATGTTGATGATGTTGACGATGATGATGATTATGGTGATGGTGGTGATGATGATGGTGTACCGATGATGATGATGTTGCTGATGATGATGATGTTGATGACGTTGATGACGATGATGACGATGATGCTGATGATGACGTTGATTGCGATGTCGATTGTGGTATCGAAAGCGAGATCGATAGTCAGACCGTATGCGAGATCGATCGTGATACCGAGTGTGAAATCGATTGTGAGATCGATTGTGAGATCGATAGTCAGATCGATTGTGAAATCGACCGAATGAAATAGATCGAGTGATATTGATTGTGAGATCGATCGAGTGAGATCGATCGAGCGAGACCGATAATGATACCGATAGCGAGATCGATAGTGAGACCGGTCGAGTGAGACGTTGGTTCCTCCCCCCCCGAACTTCCTTATCACCCGAAGGGTGGTCGTATAGGTATATAATGATTTTGCATTTTCTGCCACAGCATATCTGAAGGAACCAGACTCGGTGGTTTGGAGACGTTGCTGTCTCGGCCAGGGGGCTCGCGCGATGCTTCAAAAACTCATATTTTCACCTCGCGGGGGACTGGGCAGTTCCGTGCTATCAGAACTAGCGATCAGAGCATCTTCGCTTTCAAGTCGTTGAGCTCTGAGAACTACTTTAACTTTGTGAATTGCTTCAATTTGCGGGCGAGAGCATTTTTTCAGCTACTTGAGCCTAATCCGCGAAGTCTGATGGCTCCCACAACGGGGTCAGCGGATCTTCGCGATGATGAACGTCATCACTTCGCAGTTCGTGGACCAAACGTTGGAAGCGTCAGCGCAAGACCGCCGGGAGAGCATGGTCTCCAACCTCATGGACGCTTTCAGCAAGACAGGTGGTGGCGGCGGGATGGTGTCTGAAGACGGTTTCATGTCAAACCTGCAACACCCCTCCATGAAGAGCTTTCTGAAAGATTTGTACAAGCGGGAGGATGTAAGCCGCGACGAGATCAAGAAATCGCGGTTGTTCGAGATGCTTGACGACGATGGTTCTGGCCAGATCACCAGAGAGGAGCTCGTCCTGGGATGCGTGAGGCTGACAGGCAGCGCTACCTCGCTGGACCTTGCCGTGCTCAAGCTCGACGTGGAGTGCTTACGGAGAGACCTCGAGACCATACTCAAAATGCACAGGGCCGAGGGTAGGCTGCGCAAAGTCCCCAGGACCAGGACCAAGGAGACCAAGTCCTGAGGAAATCCGCTGAGATGCGAAATGTGACCAGCCTGTTTCGAGGGCAGAGGGCTCGCTCCCAGACTGCGCCAGCGATGTCCACGTGCTTCGCCGTGTTAATGGTTCTGAAAACGCAGCAGTCCCGTGGAGGTCTTGTGCAGGGGGGGGGGCATTGTGCGCCTTGTGCAGGGCTCTTGTGAATGCCTTCGGGACTGGATCCGCGCGCCCGTGCTTACGCAGGGGAAGGGGGAGGCGCAGAATAGCCACCATGGACACCGTCGCCTTTCACAAGACCTCTAGTGTGCTTTGTGCGCAGGAACTCTTCGCTGCAGCACTCCTTGTATTGAAGCTCGTAGTCCGCTCCCTAGTCCACTCGTTAGGGAGAATAATGATCAGAGTGAGGGGGCCGAACGGTCGTTCACTGTCCCTGGGTGCGTGGCTGCAGTGGGGATCCACGGCGAGGATTCTTGTTGTTTCCCACATCCCAAGTGGGGTCCTTATTTTCTCTGCACACCCTCCGCGCAGGATCTCTCCTGCTCCTCCTCCTCCTCCTCCTCCTCCTCCTCCTCCTCCTCCCTCTCCTCTCCTCCTCCATCCCTCTCCTCTCCTTCCCCTGGCGTCCTGCACCGTGGAGAGGCACAGCAGCAGGCCTGGGATGAGGCGCGATGCCTCGGTGTTCTCCTTCAGGTTCCAGAGGAGCTTCTTGTAAGCCTTGTTGTACGCATCCGCCAGGCGGAAGTGCTTCACTTCTTTCTGAATGATCGGCCATGCTCTCTCGATGCCCATCTGCTGGTATGTCTGGAGATAGTCCTCGATGGTCTTGGCCAGGGCCGTGTGCTGGTCCTTCAGGGTGGGATGATTCCGGAGAGTATCGTACACCCACTTGCCCATGGCTGGCCATGCCACCACATATGGAGGACCAATCTTCCGAGATATAGCCTCTTTCTGCAACCCCTCGTCCCGGAGCTTCTCCAATGAGTCTGAATGCGACTTGGTCCCCGTTTTCATAGACTTGCGTAGCTCGCACTCTGCGGGGAGCAACCAACACGTCAGAAGGATGCGAAAGCATAACGAAGTTTGCGCAGTATCAATCGGAGCCAAGGCTTCTGTGAGGGCCGGCGGGTGAGCGCATGATTTGTCTCTGACCGCGATTGGCCCCTCTGCAGTGTTGCTCACCGCCTGGAATGCACGTTGGCTATCGTACTCATGCACGTTGGCTATCGTACTCATTATCTTCTTCACTCGGGCTGGAGGGCCCGTGCCGGAAGATGTTCAGATTAGATAGACATGTTACTTCAATTTCCCCCGCCTACGTGGCCATGTTGGCTCAAGGCCAAATGCTTACTCACAAATTTGTGACTTCTCGTCCTCGACTGTGCCGTCCTGCGATCCCCTGTATCAGGTTGGGTTGCGGCAGCCATGGCGGCGTCCTTGGCAGAGACGGCACTCCCGAGTCAGGAAGAGATCATCACGCTTGGGCTGGCCACGGCAGTGGGGCCCATCGCCGCCTGGGCCGGCCTCGCGGAGGAGTCCATGGCGCAGTTGTCCGAGGTCTTGGGGTTCAGCTCTGTGCAGGACTTCAAGCAGGCACCGCCGCGCCTGCTGGCTGCGTGCCCGCCGGATGCATTCGAGGAGGCGCTCAAGGAGATGGGCGCCTCGTTCCTCTCCAAGACTGGCGCGCGCCTTATCTACAAGGTTGCGGTGGCGCTGTGCACGGCCAAGGTCTCTTCGGAGGCCAGGCCGACCGAGGGGGCGACGACCATCAACGCGAAGAAGAAGCTGAAGCTCGCGCACCTCATCGACAGCACGGACGACACGGAGATCAATGCGCCCGAGACGGACCAGGTGACACAATGGTTCGAGAACTACGCGGAGCTCAGGCACGGGGAGCCGCTCGAGCACCACGAGCCGACCCCGGACCAGATCGCAGCGCTCCACACCCGCGTTGTGGAGCTGAAGGCGGAGCCGTACGCGGACTTCTCGCTGCTCACCCCCTACGGCCGCCGCGTGGCCAAGATCCTCCGCCACCGGAGCTGGTTCCTCCAGGAGGACGGCTCGTACAAAGCCATGGAGGTACCAGGGCCCGCGAGCTTCGAGGTCTGGGAGAAGTGCTTCGACGTCTACGAGGTCATCCTCCTCATGCTCCGCTTTCCGCCGGCTGCGGATGGCGACGGCCGCCCGCAGGTCGTGCTTACGCCAATCGCGATCGACGCCTACCGGGAGGCCTTCAAGCAGCTGTGCAAGGAGCACCCGGAGTGTTGGCACCTCTGCCAGCGCGCCGAGGACCGCTGCCGGGCGGAGCACTTCGCCAGGGTAGCGCGCAAGCTCCGGGACAAACACCGGCGCAAGCCTACTTGGAGCGAGGTTTTCCAGGAGGCTGCCTTGGACGACCGCTACTGGGACCGCGAAGTGCGGCAGCCGGTGCTGGGGTTTCTCGCCAGGAACAAACGCCCTCAGACGGACGGCGACGACGCTATTTCAGCAGCGTCGCAGGAGCCCCCCGCGAAAAAGACGGTCTCCCAGAAGCGCCGGGAGAGGAAGCAGAAGCTGGTGGAGGCTGGGAGCGAGAGCAATCCATCGAAGGGCGGCAAGGGCGAGACACACCCCAGGAAGGACAAGCAGGGCCGATACATCACGACGCGGGAGGGGCAGGAGATCTGCTTCAAGTACGCGAGCGGCGGCTTCGACAAAGGGGGGTGCACGGAAACATGCCCATCCAAGCGGGCTCATGTCTGCCAGTGGTGCCTCCAGCCGCACTCCAACGGCAGTTGCCCGATCAAGAAAGTGGGTTGACTAGCCAGCCCCCGTGGCCCGGGGAACCACGAGGTCAAGGGGCACGAGAACCAGGTGGAGGTCAAGGGCGAGGAGGTCTACGTAGCGAAGCAGCAGGAGGAGGAAGCACAGCGAGCAGACCCAGAGGAACAAGAGGATGTGCACGAGGAGAGCCACCGGGTCGGGGACTCGGAGGGCGCCGAGGCCGGGAGCGAGAGGAACCAGGTCGTCACCGACAGCGCTGCCCAACGTGCGGGGCAGACCAGAGCTGCCAGACGCCCGCCGGATGGCGTGGCGCTTCCGGAGCCGAAGGCTGCCAGGGAGGCTGCAAACAATGCAGCCCTTGGTGGGCTCCGAAACCCCAACCGGGCAGTCGCCAGATCTGTCGGGCTCAGGCGGACGGGCGCTCGGATCCGGAAGGTCCTCGACGAGGTGCCAGACCGCTCCTCGTTCAAAGAGGGCATCATTTCGGTCATCGAACAGATGGGCACGGACCAGTGCAGGGGCTTCAGCCTGGAGGCCGTCGAGTTCACCCAGGAGGCGCTCCGGAAGAAGTTCGGGGCTCCGCGTCCGGACCCTGGCACCGTCTTCGACCACCAGCTATGGAAATCGCTGCTGGGCGCGGCGGGGGATCCAGAGACGGAAGTTCCGGGCTGGCTCCGGCACGGTTGCCCGACCGGCATTGGAGAGTCGGAGGTTCGCACGTGCGGCATTTTCCCGCCAGTGGACCATGCCAGCGCAGCCATAGAGAAGGCCAGGCAGTTTGCAGCCCTCCGGGTCGCGCAGCAGTGGAGGCACGACCTCCGCAATAATTACGCCAGTTTCTACGCCGACGGCGGCGCTCTGGCTGAGCAGGAGGTCCAGCGCATCGAGCAGCGCGGCTACATCGAGATCATCCGCGACTGGGACGAGGTACGCAGCAGGTGGCCGGACGCGACGGCGAGCAAAGTTGCGCTTCTCGTCAAGACGCGGGAGGACGGATCGACAAAGGCCCGCATCATCATCGATCTCCTGCGTTCCGGGGTCAGCGGCGGAGTCGTCCTCCAAGAGCGTGTGGTTCTGCCCCGCTTGTCGGACCTCACGGCCGCTGTTCTCGACCTCGTGGAGATCGACGTCAGGGCCGACTGGCACCCGGACGAGGATTGGTACGAGCTGTGCACGGTGGACTTCGAGGACGCCTTCCACACCCTATCGCTCCGAGCAGCCGACCGGGGGAAGATGGTCTTCAAGACGGCGGCTGGCTGGGCAGTCTTCCGCCGCCTGTGCTGCGGGATGGCTTCGGCCCCCTTGGTTTGGGGCAGAGTCGCGCCGCTGCGTGCAGGCTGGGCCAGGCGATGTTCCAACCGCACGAGCTCAGAATCCAGCGCTTTGTGGACGACCCCGCGATCTGCACTCGCGGCCCCCCGCACCAGCGGAAGTGGCTCCTGGGCGCGCTCCTCCTGTTCTGGGCCGCGCTTGGTTTCAGGCTCAACTGGAAGAAGGCCGTTCGCGGGCAGGCCGTGCCCTGGATCGGGGCACAATTGGAGCTCCAGCGCCGGTGGTGTCAGAAGTGCCGCTGGCACGCGCGGGGCATCCAGGTCACGCTGGCTCCGAAAAAGTGCCGGGAGATCGTCGAGGCCGTCGACGCGATCCACCGCTCGACGGGCGTCGTTCATGTCAAGGAGGTTCGCAAGCTCGCCTGCCAGCTCTCGTGGGCCAGCGGTCTACTTCCTTGGCTCCGCGGGTTCAGCGCCTGCCTGTGGGCGGCGTTGGCGGCGCACGACCAGGAGCATAATGCGCGGGCCCTGAGGTTCTCGGCCAAGAAGCGGCCCGGCCAGCTCTTCTTTCTACTGCGAATCCAGCAGGCGATCACTTGGATCCGTTTGCTGTTTGCCGGGCTCATCCGGGATCGCGATGGCAAGCCGATCGCAGTCCAAAGATGGACTATTGCGACAACCCGCCTAGCCGACCTGTCGGCGTGCATCCGCACCGACGCGCCCCCGCACGGGTTCGGCGCGATCTTGTTCGTCGATGGGGCACCGCGCGCCTGGATCGCCGAGGAGTGGGCGGACGCGGACCTCGAGCTGCTCCACGCAGACCGCGGGGGCCCAGCGTGGCAGGCCGAGTGGGAGTTGCTCGCGCTCCTGGTTGCCGTGGGTTGCTGGCTGCCGCGCCTCAAGGACGAGGCGCTCGCGCTGCTCCAGACGGACGCCACCGCGGCCCTCTTCAGCGCAGCCAGGCTGGCCGGCAGAACGCCGCACATGAACGCCCTCGCGGCGGAGTTGGCGCTACGGTTCGAGAGCGCGAATGTCCACGTCAGCCTGGAGCACGTCGCGGGCACGCTGAACTTCGAGTGCGACGCGCTGAGCCGGATTTCGCAGGGCGCGGAGATTCCGCGCTCGCTGAGGTCGGCCAGGCGCGACAATGCGCGGCAGCGCTCGCCCTCGTTCTTCTGGGCATGGCCGCGAACGCTACTGACCGGCCGCTCAGGGGCCCACGCAGTTGCACGTGGGCCGGCCGCCTTCGGCAAGGGGGGGCGGACTTCGCAGCCCTCGGGCCGGCGCGGAGGGCGGCCGTGCTGGAGGGCGCGGCGAATGGCACAGGCCAGCGACCGGGGGAATCCGCCCGCGCACCGCAGAGGCCGAAAGCGAGCACGTCGCTTGCATCGGCGAGTGCAGGCGCGGATGCCTTGACAGGAGGCGCGACGTCGCCCGCCGGGGCTGCGTTGCATGCGGCGGCGATGGCCGACCCTGCAGTCGCCCCGGGGGGGAGGGAGGAGGGGTCAGCCCAGCTCCAAGCTGTGTCGCGCGCGTCGGCGAGGGCTGACCGCCTGGCCGGTACGGGGGCCAGGGCTGGTGCCCGCTCGGCTGCCCATGCTGCGTCGCCGGCGTCGGCGATGGCCGGCCCCGCGGCCGCTTCGGGCGCCGCTCCTGCCCAACTTCCGGCTGCGTCGCGCGCGTCGGCGAGGGCCGACCGCGCGGCCTCTGCAGGAGGCGCAGAAGGCGTTGGCCCGGCCGCCCGCGCTGCGTCGCCGGCGTCGGCGAGGGCCGGCTCTGCGGCCGCATCGGGCGCGCATCGTGCGCCTCGTAAGAGCAGGAAGGATTTCCCAGACGTCAGGGCGACAAAACGCCCCTGCAGAGCAGAGGTGCTCGCGGCCGCCTCCACGATCAAAGGACAGGAGGAGGTCCTCGCCAGGCTCCTGCAGGACACGTCAGCGGCCAGCAGCAAGCTTACCGCCGACTCGCCGTGGGCAACCTGGTCGGTATTTCACCAGGCTTGGTTTGGCGAAGCGACGCCGCCCCTCCCGCTGAGCGCGGAGACGGTCTACGCTGTCGCCGCTTGCTTCAAGCAGGGGGGCCACCGGGGGTTCCCTGCATGCATGGCCAAGGCTAAGGCCCACGCCCTCGCCGGCTGGCCGTGGGATGAGCAGCTGGACCTTGCTCGGCGGAAGGCCACGGCATCGGTCCTCCGGGGCCTGGGCGTCGCGAGACAGTCAGCGCCCTTCGACCTCAACGCGGCGGTCGCGGCGGCGCGCGAGGGCAGCGCCCACCTGGGGCCGCTCGCGCCCGTGGGGTGGGTGAACTTCCTCATCGTCGCCTCCATCTCTGTCGCGCGGGAGATCGAGGCGGCGTTTGCCAAGGTCGGCCACGTGGCCCTCAACAGGGCCGAACGCGAGGTCAGCCTCAGGCCCCCAGTCTCCAAAAGGGACCCGCGGGCCGCCGGCTGCGCGAGAACATGGGGTTGCACGTGCGCGAGCCGGCTGTCTCGTGAGTTGTGCCCGCATTGCGCGGCAGATGCGCAGTTGGGCATGCTCCGGGACATGTTCGGCCCAAGCTTCGATGACGACTTGCCGCTCTTCCCGGCCCGCGCTGGCGGGGTCTGCCTGAAGGCCAACGTCGTGGCGGCGCTCGAGGTCACCGCTGCGGCTTGCGGAGGCGCTCCATTCCACCCGAGTGGCGCGAAGGCTTTGGGGGGGGCGTTCTTTCAGAGTCACGGGGGCTCAGAGGCTGGCCATCGCAGGGCTGGAGGTGCGCATGATCACGCTGCGTGCGCGGTGGGCTGGCGACACCGTTCCCCGCTATATCCGCGAGGCGCCCTTGGAGAATCTTCCCGCGGAGGTGATCGCTCTCGAGGAGAAGCGCTCGCTCATCGAGCCCCTCGCCGCGGCGCAGGACGACGTGATCAAGGTTGGCGACCAGGTGGCTGCCCAGAAGCAGGACGTCGCGGACGCGCTGGCCGCCCTGCGTGAGCGGCTCGCCAAACTCGACGCCGGCTCCGCCAAGCCATGCGTCAGCGGTGGAGGCTCGAGGAGGTTCCGGGCCCACGAGGTCGCAGTGGAGGGGCTCGATGTCCCCCCGCAGCTGTGGATGACCAAATGCGGCGTCAGGTTCGCCCACTGGTGCTTCACGAAGCACGCCTCCTTGGAGACCTTTCCAGAGGATGCTCTGCGCCGCAGCTGCTTCCGGAAACGTCGGTCCACCTCGAGCTCGTCGGCCTCGAGTGCTTCATCGTGCTCGGAAGGCTCCGCGTCTTGAGGCCAGGTGGGGAGGTGCGTTTGCGGCGGCGACGGCTGCCCTTTCGCCGCCCGCCGCCGCGGCCTCAAGCACGCGGGGTTTGAGCGTGCAACCACCCAGCGTCTGGAGACAAAAAGAGTCTTGCCTGGGTGGGCGGGGGGGGTGTGCGTGAGAAGCTGCGCGGAGATTGGTGCGAAAGCATAACGAAGTTTGCGCAGTATCAGTCGGATCCACGGCTTCTGTGAGGGCCGGCGGGTGGGCGCGTGATTTGTCTCTGACCGCGATTGGCCCCTCTGCAGCGTTGCTCACCGCCTGGAATGCACGTTGGCTATCGTGCTCGTGCACGTTGGCTATCGTACTCATTATCTTCTTCACTCGGGCTGGAGGGCCCGTGCCGGAAGATGTTCAGATTTGAGAGACATGTTGCTTCAACTTCCCCCGCCTACGTGGCCACGTTGGCTCGAGGCCAAATGCTTACTCACAAATTTGCGCCCACCCACCCTCCCAGTAGGTATTGTGGCGGCGACGGCTGCCCTAGCGGCCTCTGAGACAGGGCGTTAGGGGGGAGGTGCGTTTGCGGCGGCGACGGCTGCCCTTTCGCCACCCGCCGCCGCGGCCTCAAGCACGCGGGATTGAGCGTGCAACCACCCAGCGTCTGGAGACAAAAAGAGTCTTGCCTGGGTGGTGGGAGGGGTGTGCGTGAGAAGCTGTGCGGAGATTGATCCCTTGGAACACCCGGCTCATCTGGGAGTTGGATAAGCACAGCTTGGACAGAATGACGAGGAACTCCGTGAGCCGCTTGTAATCGTCCTTCTCCATGTCCCGCTCCTTCTCCACGGCCGCGCGCTTGGCGCGGCGCTCCACGCCCCCGCCCCCCGCGCCCGCCACAGGCGACAACATCTGGCCGAGGTCCATAGCGAGGTGGATATGTAAATGTAAGCTCAGATGGACTCGGCAACAAGACTTCTGCAATCCCATGGAAGCATCTGATCTCAATGTAAGATGGCGACAGGTGAGAACGAACGTGCAAGCCATATTCGCCCATTGTGCGACACCGCACGCCACATATAGGACAATGTTGATCGATATCGTGCGAGGTGGTGTTATCTGGCTGCAATGACAGATCTGCAGTGCAATCGCCATTGATGAAGGTTCGTGCAGCATTGTCCCTAGCACTGCGCCGCGAAGAAAAGGACGACAGGCACCAGAGGCACACATTGTTGAACACCAAAGAAGACACACTGAGAAGAGCTGGTAGTTTATGACGCCTGCGTACTTGACGAATGTGTGTAAGTAGTGCAGAAACGCTAGGGGAATACATGCCACAATCCTCCCCTATATGCACGCAGTGCGTGCACTGGAACGACTTGGACAAAGAGGAAAGGGATGAAACAGGTGGGAGGCCGGGAGGCGGTGGAACCGTGCCAGGAGGAGGTATAGGAACGCATGTGTTTCTTCCCCGCAATATGGTTATTTTCACGTATGTGAACGCATCTCTCATGTCCCTTTTGTAAAACATCTGGCGAGCATCATGGAACTCATCCGGGAATCCAAACAACTCCTCAGCGACATCCATCAAAGCAGAAATATCACTTGTGATCTGTCTTGCCCACGGATTCAGTGCGAGTCGTCCTCCTTCCCCTTGGTCCCCCCCATCCTGTTCCCCATATGTTCCTCCATGACTTCCTCCATCATTCCCAACATGTCCATCTCCTCTCCTTCCGTGTCTCCTTGATTCGAAATCGAACGTGCCGCACACAGCTGTGATGTACGCAGTGTGCATGTACATGCGTTTCACGATGGCCTGGAAGAACTGTAACCTTATGCTGCGTCGCTCTATGTGTGCAGTGGCAATGCCAAGGATCTTCCCGATGTCCCCAGCTGAAGCGAGCTGCGATGGCTGCACGTGCCTCAGCCGGGGGGGCCCAGGGCATGCGCCCCGACGGGCTTTTTCGGTGGTGGGGCCACGCGGTTCTGCCGGTAGCCACCGCTACGGGCATCTTCTCTGCGCCAACCTTCCAAGCTTTCAGTTGCAGACAGGACATGGTGCCACAGAGCGAGTCGAGTCGAGTCGAGTCTCTTCTCCTTCCCATCATCATCATCGCACTCATCACCACTCATCATCATCATCATCATCATCATCATCAGCAGCAGCATCATCATCATCACCCACCCACCCACCCACCCACCCACCCACCCACCCACCCACTCACTCACTCACTCATTCACTCACTCACTCACTCACTCACTCATCACCGCCATTCGCTTCTGTCACCCGAGGAAGTCTCAGGCGGGAGCCCCCTCCCTAAGGGTCCCGCGCCTCATATTGGTAATCCGAGCGGGCCATCGACAACCTGCAATTGTCGTCACTTTTGGGCTCCCCAGGCCTGACCTTGGAGGAAGTATCAAGCGGGAGCCTCGTCTGTGAGTGAATTGTGAGGAAGTCTCAGGCGGAAGCCCCCCTCCCTCTGGGTCCCGCATTTCATGTTGGTAGTCCGAGCGGGTCATCCTCAATTTGTAACTGTCGTCACTTTTGGGCTCCTCAGGCTTGGATGTGGAGGAAGTATCAAGCGGGAGCCTCGTTTGTTAGTGTTAGTGAATTGTGAGGAAGTCTCAGGCGGGAGCCCCCTCCCTATGGTTCCCGCAGTTCACGTTGGTAATCCGAACGGGCCATCGGCAACCTGTAATTGTCGTCACGCTTGGGCCCCCCAGGCTTGAATCTGCAGGAAGTATCAAGCGGGAGCGTCGTCAGTGAGTGAATTGTGAGGAAGTCTCTGGCGGGAGCCCCCTCCCTATGGGTCCCGCATTTCGTGTTGGTAATCCGAGCGGGTCATCGGCAACTTGTAACTGTCGTCATTTTTGGGGCTCCCAGGCTTGATTTTGGAGGAAGGAGCGGGAACCTCGTCTGTGAGTGAATTGTGACGAAGTCTCAGGCGGGAGCCTCCTCCCTATGGGTCCCGCGACTCATGTTGGTAATCCGGGCGTGTCATCTGCAACTTGTAACTGTCGCCACGTTTGGGCTCTTCAGGCTTGAATTTGGAGGAAGTATCAAGCGGGAGCGTCGTCAGTGAGTGAATTGTGAGGAAGTCTCGGGCGGGAGCCCCCACCCTACCCTCCCTATGGGTCACGCATTTCATGTTGGTAATCCGAGCGGGCCGTCGGCAACTTGCAATTGTCGTCACTTTGGGGCTCCTCAGGCCTGACTTTGGAGGAAGTATCCAGCGGTAGCCTCGTCTGTGAGTGAATTGTGAGGAAGTGACAAGCGGAAACCCCCCTCCCTATGGGTCCCGCGTTTCATGGTAATCCGAGCGGGTCACTGGCAATTTGTAACTGTCGCCACTTTGGGGCTCTTCAGGCTTGCATTTGGAGGAAGTATCAAGCGGGAGCCTCGTCTGTGAGTGAGTTGTGACGAAGTCTCAGGCGGGAGCCCCGTTCCTATGGGTCCCGCAGTTCACGTTGGTAATCCGAGCGTGCCATCGGCAACCTGTAACTGTCGTCACTTTTGGGCTCCCCAGGCTTGGATTTGGAGGAAGTATCAAGCGGGAGCTTCGTTTGTTAGTGAATTGTGAGGAAGTCTCAAGCGGGAGCCCCCTCCCTACGGGTCCCGCACTTCACGTTGGTAATCCGAGCGGGTCATCGGCAACTTGTAATTACTCCGACGGAAGGACCCCGCATGAGAATCTGTTGAGCTTGCCCTTACCCTTCTCCTCCTCGCCCTGACGGACACCCTTCTCTCGCCCGCCTTTTTGCCCTCACCTACTCCCTCTCCTCATATTTCTCCTCCTCCTCCTTCTCCACTTCCTCCTCATCATTGCCCCCTCCCTACCCCTTCCCAGTCCTCGTCCTTCCCCTGCTTCTTCTCCGCGCGTTCCTCCCCTTCCCCCTGGCCGTTGTTACCCTCCTCCTTACCCCGTATTTGGAGGAAGTATCAAGCGGGAGCCTCGTCTGTGAGAGAACTGTGAGGTAAGGGCAAGCTCAACAGATTCTCATGTGGGGACCTTCCGTCGGAGTAATTGTTTTGTTGTTTTGTTTTGTTGCGTCGTTCCTACCCAAGCCCGCCCGCGACCCACCCCGCGACCCACCCGCGACCCACCCCGCGACCCACCCGCGACCCACCCGCGACCCACCCCGCGACCCACCCGCGACCCACCCGCGACCCACCCGCGACCCACCCGCGACACACCCTCGACCCACCCACGACCCACCCGCGACCCGGCCCGCGACCCACCCGCGACCCACCGACGACCCACTCGCGACCCACCTGCGAGCTAACCCGCGACCCACCTACGTTGTTTTAACAAAAAATCGGCGCCTGCGGCGGGCTCGTTGTACAGCTTGAAACATTTAGCGCCTGCGGCGGGCTTCTTCAAAGCCTCGCAGACTGCCGACATCCCCGCCGCCTCCTCACTCTTATCCGCAACTGCGGGGTGCTACGTATTAGCCCACTGTTGGGAAACTGTCTCAACCTCATTAAGCCTCAAACTCATCCTCGAAACCAAATGACGACACCAAGTCTCCCCCTTTCAAAACGTCCGCGCACAGACCTGCCCACCCCCACCCGGAATCACAGGGAGGCGGCATGGCCCCCCCTGCTCTTCAGCGCCATGTGACCTTGGCCGACAGGACGGGCGGTGTCCTGCTTTGCTTGCGGCTGAGCGTGACATTTAGTATGGAAACGAAGATAAGGATGAAGATTCGCTCTTCAAAATGCACTGGCTGCCTTTTTGGTGGGCGGGCGGCAAGTGCCGCGGCACCTTCCACGCCTTTTAGGACTGCGGCCTTGCGCGGACCCCATGTTCCGACTCCGATGCGTGGCAAAGTTGTCCCTCGAGCCCAGTCTCGCAGTCGCCAGTCACCCACGCCTGCGCTCCCACTTCGTCTGGACTCCACGACCCAGCGCGGCAATAGCTGGAGGGTCGCTGTGTGAAGCGGCTCGCTGCAATTCATGCACGCGCTCTATTTGCACTGAAGCAGTACGCCTGAACAAAAGCATGCAGACGCTGCAGCAAGTTCCAGCTCCGCCGAGCAGTCGGGGGCACCGCCTTTCGGCCGAGGATCAGGAATGCAAACGATCCAGGCCCCGGGCAGCGGCAGAGGACCTCAAGCAGATCTCCTGGCCGACCTCATCGTCCTCGGGATGATTCGTTAGCACATCATGTGAGTTTCGTATACCCTCGCAATTCCGTCTTCAGAGTGCACTCGCGCCGTTCAGCGTCTGGTAATCGATGAAATAGCGCCAATGTGGCGTCGAATAGCATCGACTTAGCGTCGATTTGGCGTCGAAGTAGCGTCACTTAGCGTCGATTGGGCGTCGGTCAGCGTCGATTCGTGTCGGTTAGCGTCGACATGCAAGAGCCAGCAAGATGGTGTGGGAGGCTCCCATGGGATGCCACTTGAGGCTGATGGGGCCAGCGCCTTCGGGAGGGGGGAGGCCGCCAGTGTCGGCAGCGCCTGGGGCCCTGGATGGACGGGGCCGTGGGCCCCCGTGGTCTCTGGCCCCCTTCCCGCCGAACCGCCGCCGACGTCGAGAGCTCTGTTCCTACACGCCCCGCTGGGTTCCCGGGCGAAGGGTCTGCCCCGACGACGCCGGGCTGCGCTCGGGCGCTCGCAGGCTCGTGTCTGCCTGCCGAGGGAGCGGAGCCAGGGCCTCCCGAGTGGGGTCCTAACAGGGGGTGTCGAAGGATCGCGCTGCGTCGCCGATGCACTGCCGATGCGATTCGATGTGGAGCCCGATCTCCTCCGCGCCGACGTCGCCGATGAACCGCCGACGTCGACGACTCATCGCCGATGCATCGCCGATGCAGCGCCGATGTATCGTCGATGCGGCGCGGTGGTCCGACCCCGTCTATTCTCGGCCACGCGCGAAGGGGGTATGGGGAGAGGGGAAGGCTTCTTAGAAGCACCCCTGCTTCTTAGAAGGCGCGGACCTTCTCTATTAGATACAGGGCCGGCACCTTCCAAGGAGCAGCTTCCTTCTGAGAAGCCCTCCCCTGCTTCTTAGAAGCACCCCTGCTTCTTAGAAGGCGCGGACCTTCTCTATAGATACAGGGCCGGCACCTTCCAAGGAGCAGCTTCCTTCTGAGAAGCCCTCCCCCATCCCCCTACCCCTTTGTGCGCGCCGCCAATATTCGGACCCCATGTTGGAGGCCTCTGAGAAGGGCCTGGGCCGCAGGGGTTCCCTCCTCGAGAGGGCGGCAGCACGAAAGGCGCGAAGGCTCAGCCGCGCTGTCGCGCACCGAGGGCGCGCGGAGCGCGAAGGCAACGAGGTGGCCCGAGACCCAGACCCGCGGGTGGTGGAGGGGAGGGGGGGCGCTCCTCCTCCTCCTCCTCCTCCTTCTCCTCCTCCGCCTCCTCCTCTTCCTCCTCCTCCGCCTCTTCCTCCTCCGTCTTCTTCTCCTCCTTCTCATCCTCCTCCTCGTCTTCCTCGACCCAGAGGAACTGCAGTCGCGCCGATTGTCAAGGAAGCCCGCCTGTTCGTGTCTGTCCCGGCCTCTCTTGCGCAGCTTCCAGCAGGCTGGCTCAGCTCTTATAAGACCTCCTACGCCTTCACCAGCATGTGCGCGCAGCGCTGGCCCTGCGTTTGTTCGAGATCCTGCCAGGAAGCCCGCGTGTTCTTCTTGTGTGAACCTTTTTCTTGATCACAACCTTGGCTGTGGAAATTCACGAGGAAGCTATAAGGGTTGCCCTGGGAAGAGGAGGAGGAGGAGGAGGAGCAGGAGGAGGAGGAGGAGGCAGTCGTTGGAAGGGAGGACCTGGATTCCTCGAGCAAGCCCTCCAGGACCTCCACCGAGCAGCCTCTCGGGAGGCCCTTTGGCTGCGGCCTCCTCATGGGGAGGCGGCGCGGCGGCGCGAAGAAGGGACCGCGCGCACCGCGCGGCACGGGAGCGGGGGAAGCCAGGCGAGCGCCGCAAGAAAACGGGTTCGACTGCGCCGACATTCGCTCGTAAGCTCCCCGCACTGGCGAGCGTGAAGGAGGACGTCTTTCCAACATCCCTCCTCCTCCTCCTTTCCTTTTCCTGCGATCCGCGCATCCGAACCTGTCTCTACCAGTCGTCAAACACCGGTCGGGCGTGAGCGCCCTCGTTTCCAATGTGGCGTGACGCGCTGACGGCCCGCGCCCGCCACCGCGTAAGGTCGCCATGCCATCTCGCGTACGGACCCTTTTCGGATCCTGAGGAACGGGCCGCGGGTTCCCGAGGGCCCTCGGGGGTCCCCTGAGACCCTGGCGTTGCAGTTCTTTCTCACTGGGCGTCTTCGCCCAGTTGTTCGGGCCCCAGGACTTTCACAGATCGCTGCGGCTCGAAAAGTGATGCAGCCAGGTGGGGTCTGGGGCTTTGGTGGCGTTTTGTTGCGATGCGGCACGTTTTTGCGATCCTCCGCGGCCGCCCTGTCCCCCCGTTTCAAACTCTGGCAGGCCGGCCAACTCGCGTATCGGTCATCCCGGATCGCCGCCCGCTGGTGCAGCTCTGCCTCGCCAAGTGACACGTGTTTTTCTGATCTGAGGGTCGTGGAGGCGGCGACAGGCCGTCCTCTGCCGTGGGCTTCCCCCTCCCCGCCGCCTTGTGGGGGGTGCGCCGGGCACGCCTGGGAGGCCAGGGGGCAGCCTGAGGGAGGCACGCCTCTCATGAGATGCAGAGGGTACGGAGGGGGGGGCGATGCACGAGCGGGCGTTCTTGACGGAGGAGGAGGAGGAGGAGGAAGAGGAGGAGGAGGAGGAGGAGGAGGAGGAGGAGGAGGAGGAGAGGAGGAGGAGGAGGAGGAGGAGAGGAGGAGGAGGAGGAGGAGGAGGAGGGAGGAGGAGGAGGAGGGAGGAGGAGGAGGAGGAGGAGGAGGAGGAGGAGGAGGAGGAGGAGGAGGAGAGAGGAGGAGGAGCAGGAAGAGGAGGAGGAGGAGGAGGAGGAGAGGAGGAGGAGGAGGAGGAGGAGGAGGAGGAGGGAGGAGGAGGAAGGAGGAGGGGAGGAGGGGGAGGAGGACAAGCTAGGTGCGCTCGCGTCATATCTGACGTCCTACCCCTCCCTCCCATCCCTTACCATGGCGCTGATTTTCTCTATCCGCGGACGCGTGTCGTAGCGGACCTGTGGCTCCGCGCGCGCGTGCGTAGTGGGTGGTGGTGCGCGTGCGTGCGTGCGTGCGTGCGTGGTGTGTGTGTGGTGCGTGTGTGTGTGTGTGTGGTGGTGGTGGTGGTGGTGGTGGTGGTGGTGGTGGTGGTGGTGGTGGTGGTGGTGGTGGTGGTGGTGGTGGTGGTGGTGGTGGTGGTGGTGGTGGTGGTGGTGGTGGTGGTGGTGGTGGTGGTGGTGGTGGTGGTGGTGGTGGTGGTGGTGGTGGTGGTGGTGGTGCGGCGCGGTGGTGGCGGGCGGATGGGCGCGCGAGAAAGAGGCCCGCGCTGGGGCGAGAACGCCATCCTGAACGACGGAGGCCAACACCGATCCGAAAATGAGGCCCACGCTGCAGCGGGAGCACGATTCGGAACGATTCGGGAGCAGAAATGAGGCCGGCGCCTCAGCGAGAGCAGCATTTTGAAAAAAACACAAGCGAAAACCCGTTTCCCGGGAATCCTGTGTGTAAAAAACAATACGCGGGGGGGTGTCGGATATCTTCGGGACGCCATCAGGGGAAGTGGGAGAGTATTTTCATATTGTGTAACTGTGGAGGAGGAGGAGGAGGAGGAGGAGGAGGAGGAGGAGGAGGAGGAGGTGGAGGGGGAGGAGGGAGGAGGAGGAGGAGGAGGAGGAGGAGGAGGAGAGGAGGAGGTGGAGGGGAGGAGGAGGAGGAGGAGGAGGAGGAGGAGGAGGAGGAGGAGGAGAGGAGGAGGAGGAGGAGGAGGGAGGAAGAGGAGGAGGATGGAGGAGGATGGAGGAGGATGGAGGAGGAGGAGGAGGATGGAGGAGGATGGAGGAGGATGGAGGAGGAGGAGGAGGAGGAGGAGGAGGAGGGCGGGGAGGGCTGCAGCAAGGACGCCCTGACGGGGTCCAAACGGGCCCCCCTTCGGGGCCGCGAAGGTGCACGACAGGCGCACCGTCCTCTCCCCCCCCACCTTTCCTGGCTCGAGCAGGGGATCGACTGCAGAATCGATCTCCCCCATAATTATTTGTTGCGCCGAATCGGCGAAACATGCGCGTAACGTTTGCATATCTGCGAGCATCCCATGTCTATTCTCGTGGCCTCGACGAAAAAAACAAAAACACCGTTTTGGGGTACCTCGGTTCTGTAGTCGATCTCGTCGATCTCCTGATTACTTGAATGCTGCCCCTCTCCCCCCCCCTGGGCAACGCCCGATCCGCGCAACGGCGCCCGCCGTGCAGGTCCTGGCTCGGCTCGTGCCGGGCCACGACCTGCGGGGCACGCCGGACGAGATCATGGCGAAGGACGGCGGGGCCCTCGCTCGCTCGATCGGCTTTGCTGCTGCTCGTCGTCCTGCCGCTGCTCCTCCCCCGGGTGGCACCGGCGCCGTCGCACGGCCCACGGCTCGCGGCAGCATCGGGCTTGCCGGAGGGTGCGGCCCGTTCGTGTCGTGTCGATGCGGCGGCGGCACCAGCGCGGGCATTCCAAGCTGAACGCTGGCACTCTCTCAGAACCGGCCAGAGTGGAACGATGCGGCGATCAAGGAGCCGTCGACCCTTCAAGGTGAAACGATCCACGCGGTGTGAGAAACCAGCACCAGGGTCTTCACGACACGAGCCCGCCGTGGTTTTACTCCTGCTTCTGGGTGGCACCACGAAGGTGCCCTCAGGCTGAGCAGGTGAACGCCACCATCGCTTCTGGCTGGCCGCTAGCAGGCCCGTCCTGTCTTGGGATCGTTTCATGCGTACGCTTGTTCGTTTCCATGAGCTCCTCCCCAGCCGCCAGGTGGGCCCCCCAGGCGGTGCGGGCGGCCGCGCCGTCCTGACCTTGGGGCCTCGTCATCGGGGGCGCGCGCGCGCAGGGCTCGCAGGAGCATCGCCCCTGAATGCTGGTGGGGCTTGGACACCGCGTCCTCCAGCGCTAAGCCAGCGTCCCCCTCCTCACCCTTTTCTCCGCCTGCTTCGGCGCGACGGTGTCTCAAGAGCCCGAGACGTCAGTGGCAGTTTCTTGGGCCTCCGGAGGCCTACCTTAGCCCGCCGTGCTCGTGGGTCGCCGTGGGGTGGCCTCCAGAGATCCCCGGGGCTAGACCACACCTCTCGTCTTCTGCGCTCACTCGGCACCTGAGCCCATTCGGTCCCCGAGCGGACCCTGGATCGCGCGCACTCGGCAGCCGAGCGGGTCCGTAGCCATTCTGGCTCAAGCTACGGCGCGTGCTGTAAAGTATTCTGGGGGCCCCGCGCGGCCCCGTCGGCATGGCTGGGCTGCTGGTGGCCCTGCATGGCGACCTCGTTCGGCAGCTCCTGGATGCGCAGGGGCTCCATCTCTAGGGGCTTCAGCAAGGTGTGCGGTTGGCTCGCCACCGCGGCTTGCTGACCAATGCAGTGGCGAAGAAGGTGGCCAACGTCGACGTCGCATTCAGCGTGTTGCGCCACCTCTCGCGGCCGGGGTGCTTCGACTTCTCGTGCGAGGTCGGTTTGCTCCTTCGTCGTGATGGTGGCCAGCTTCGTGCCGATGCTCCTCACTTCGTGCCTGCTGATGCTGGCGCGGCCGGCGCGGCTGGGGTGCCCGCCCCTGGAGCACCGGTGGGCACTGAGGGTGCGCAGGCGCGGGTGCAGGTGACTGACGCGGCTGGCGTGCCCCTCCCCAGTGCTTCTGTGGACACGGAGGGTGCGCAAGCGCTGGCGCAGGATGACAAGCATGAAATTAATCGTGCTGATCATGATGCACCTGCTGGACATGTTCCTCCCGAGCATTCCCACGGCGCTCTTTGGCAAGATCGGGCGGAGGCTGGTGGGCGTGAGTTTGCTGTGCTTGCTCCTGGCGGCTGCCACGATGCTGCAGATCGTGTGCTGGAGGCGCTCGGTGTGCAGGCGCTTGCCCTTGGCGAGGCTGCTCCTGAAGAAGCTGCTCCACTCGTAGTGTGTCCAGTCAGTGTCGGTCGCGCCCCCCAGACTCCTTTTGAAGATTTTCGCCACGTTGCTGCTGCACCTGGGCCTCGGGGGCGCGGCGCCGGTGCCCCTGCTGCGCCTGCTGCTCGTCGCGAACCTGCTCGTGTACTTTCTCCCGTGCGAGCGGGTCGTGAGTCTTGCCGTGATTACGTCCGGGCGCGGCGGTTCGGCGCGGGCTCTGCGCTCCGCCGCGCGCGCGCCGGCGCGGCGCGCGAGGTGTCGCGCGCGGCCGCACCAGGCTATAGTTTATCTGCCTGACGCTGCGTTGTGCTTCGTTTTTCGTCCTGCGGGCGTCCTGCGCCGATCTCAGGCGGAGTCCAAAACCAAAGAAGAAACAACCGAGCGGGCTAAGCCCCCACAGCCCTGCTGCAGTCGAGCCCGCTCGGCAGCCGGCAGGGGGCCGGGCGCGGAGACGGCCCGGGCGTGAGCCCTGGACCAGGCCACCGTGATCGTGGGTCGCTGGCGGGTTGGCGGTGGTGCTTCGGTCTGAGCTGAATCTGGACCCGCTGGGTCCGTGTGGCCCAGCCGTTCTGCCGAAGCCTTCGCGGTCCCAAGGTCGCGGGGGGCCGCCGCCGAGCGTGGCATTCGCTGGCCGGCGTCCGCGGCGCAGGGCCGTCCAAGTCCGCCCGAAGGCGCGGCGCGTCGTTCCATGCCCCCCTGGGCTGGGCAGTGGATGGGTCACGGCTCGCCGTGCACATGCCCCACGCCCAGCTCTTGCAAATCACGCTGAAGTTCTCAGGGTGCACCTCCGTCCAGCCCTGAATCCTCAGCAGCGGTGATAGCACAGCACAGACAGTGCCTTGCGCTCCGGTCGGTGACGGGCACTACGCGCCGTTTCCACTTCTCGGATCAGCCGCCACCGGCCCCCGCCGCTGGCGCCGCCACTTGATCCTGCCGCTGGCCCATGGCATCCCCTGCGCCGGCCCCCTGCCACCAGCCCCCGCCCGCGCTGCGCGCTGCAGCGCCAGCCGGCTGCTCGCAAGGACAGCCGCATCGCCGTGCGCCGCCGGTCAGCCGATCAGGGGCCACGTCGAGGCCATGTGTACCCTCTTGCCAGGTGTGCGCGGCATCCTCATTGTGCTCGGCGCGCTCGCTGGCGCAAGCCCTGCGCCCTCTGACGACCTGGGGCGGGGGGGGCGGCTGCTCCCTGGAGTGCTCGCACGGGCGCCTGATGAGGTCCTGGCCCGCGCATTTGCCGAACTCGCCCCAGGCAGCAATTTCCGCGCTGTGCGTCGGGCGCATGAAGAGCGAGATTCGTTTTTCTGGCGCGCATGTCTGCCGCCTGAACGCAGTGCAAGTGCGCGTGGTCGCTTGTCTCGGTTCGGAACCCATCCTCGGGCCATCTATCTGGGATCGAGCGTTCTTGACTAATCCGACGCATGCGCTCGCCATTCCATCCATCAAGCTTGTGACGATTAAGGACGTCTCAGGTGTGCCAGACAATGTCTCAGCGACCACGCTCATCTGGGATTGCAAATGCGCCCCGATGCACGCGCACTCCGAAGGACATTAACGACGCAATTATCATGAGCATCTTCGGCCGCCTCGCACGTCAAGGGAGCTCATGGAACAGTCGCCTGTCAAGATGGCGCTTTCAGCTTGCGAACTCACGTCGCTTAACAGCGCACGGCGCTGACTAGGATCATGGTGCGCGACAGGCTCCAAAATAGCTGGTGGTATTCGTGGCCATTGCTCGGACATCATTTTTTGCCATACTTGGAACGCGCTTCCTGTTTCTCCGCGCGCAAGATAGCTGTGCCTGGCGCGACGCGTGGCTATTCTTGGCGATACTTTCCCAGGGCGCAGCCGAATCGCAGTCGCCGCCATCCGGGGTCGCCAAGCCCCAGAGGCCCAGATGCAGATGGGGAGGAATATTGAAGCTGAGGCTCGCGTCGCCTATTATTGGTGGCTTTCTTAGTTGACGCGCGTAGATGGCACGCGGTGTAAATTCCGTCGCCGGCTGGTCTCGGCTCGAGCGCTCTTGCATTTGATGCGAGAGATGCCCGTGCCCCCGTGCGCGAGCTTGCCGAGGCCCGAGACTTCAGGGGGGCCTGCCCTTGCCGTGCGACAGTTTTTTCATTCGCTTTGGCATCCGGCGATTTCTTCGCTCAGCTTGCCCTGAGATGTGCCTTCGTGGACCTGGTTGGGCTTTCTGTCGAGGCGTTGCGCCAAGTCTTACGTGCCGCGCGTACCTTTTCCGCCCTGACCAGACCATCCTCCCCAAAGCGGTGGCCAGCTGCGTCGACCACGAGCGAATCGAGCCAGCGCTAGAGGCGACTTTGGGGCTCCACGCGGAAATAACTTCGAGCATTGCACACCGATGCTAATCGCAGAATCCGTCATCATCGCAGACTCGGCGCGCCAGTCCAAGGTGCACATCTGGCCAGCCACGTCGCCAGAACAGGCCTGGGACGCATCGCCGACCACGGCAGTGGCAGCGAACGCACGCGGTAGCATTGGCACGATGACCTCCGAGAGTGTTGCGCAGGACCGTTCTGATTGATTCATTGGGACGTTCTTCCCGCACCAGGTGCCAGCTCACCCTTCTTCCTGCAGGGGCGAGGCGCTAGCGCGTGAGCCACAGTCGTTGCACCAGCGTCCCAGTGTTCCAGCCAGCATTGTTTCGGTACCGGTATCACTGCTGGCGCAGGCACCAGGGCGAAGCCTCCGCTCTGGAGCGCCATCGTGCCCCTATGCCGAGGCCATCGTTCGGATAACATCCACGAAGGCCATTCGCAACTGGAGATCCAGGGTTATCGCCCTGTGGACGTTCGATCCTACTTCGTGCCAGATTTTCGATCGAGCCCATCCTCTCGTTGCTTGCACATCGGCCTTTTCGCACGCGCTGCAGCTCGACTTGAGCGAAGCGCCTCGGTGCCTTCAGGGACCAATTGATTCTTGCAGCGGGGGCTGGCGGTTAATAGACTCTGGGGAGACAGTGGGCGTGTGCTCTGTTTAGCGCCTATTTGAATTGAGCTGGCGCTCTTGCTGCAGCTCAGGGTCGGGTTGGCGCAGGTACCACCAGGGATAGACCCCACTGCCCAGTGTCCTCGTTCCCATGACCTTCTCCTCCAGCTTATCGTTTTACGGATTATTCTCCCCTTCTGGTCCTCGTTCTCATCGTTTCTTTCCTTACCTAGGCTCTGCCTAGAAGGGTTCTTGCTCTCTTTCTTACAGGGGCTGGGCAGTGGAACGCGCCCCGGGCGGTTCCTCCGGCATCCGCCCCGCGGTTCCCCCAGTTACGTCCCCTTAGCTTAGCGTTGCTTATCTCATCTTAGCTTAGCTTTGCTTAGCTTACTTTAGCTTCATCTTAGCTTCGCGTAGCTGTAGCTGTAGCTTAGCTTAGCTTAGCATCTCATAGCATAGCCCAGCATACCATTGCACAGCGCAGCCCAACATAGCATAGCATAGCATAGCATAGCGCAGCATAGCACAGCATAGCATAGCATAGCGCAGCATAGCTTAGCATACCATAGCCTAGCACAACATAGCGCAGCCTAGCGTAGCATAGCATAGCGCAGCATATCATAGCATAGCATAGCATAGCATAGCAGAGTGCAGCATAGCATAGCATAGCATAGCATAGCATAGCATAGCATAGCATAGCAGCAAAGCAACGGCAAAGCAACAGCAGCAACAGCAAAGCAACAACAAAAGCAAAACAACGGACAGGCAAAGCAAACGCAAAGCAAAGGAAAGGCAAAGCAAAGAAAAGGAACAGCAACAGCAAAGCAAAGGACAGACAAAGGTAGATGTAGATGAAGGTGTACATGTAAATGTAGCTGTCGGAGTAGATGTAGGTGTTGCTTTCCTAAATGCTCTAACTCCTAGGTAGGGTCGCACTGGGATAATTTCTCTTTTGGGGGGGTTCTTTGTATTTCTCCTCATCCTTTCTCTCTTCGTATGCCTGCCTCGCTTCCTCCCCCTGTTGCCCGCGTATTCATCCTCCCTGCTCCTCCATTCCCTCCTCTTCATCCTCTTCCTCATTCGGCACGCTTGCTCCCCCTTTTCTCCGTACCAACCTCCCTCATCCCCCTCCTCCTCCTCCTCCTCTTCCTTTGCCGACTCCGACTACGGAGTGCGGCCGATGGAGGACAGACGGCAATTGACGTTCGACGGTCGGACGTCGCCTGACGACGGACGACGGACGACGACGACGCCGACGTGCGACGGGCGACGCCGACGGCAGCGGACGGACGACGGACGGCGGACGACGGAAGCCAGTCGACGGACGACGACGGACGACGACGATGACGCTGACGAACAATGACGATCACGACAACGACGACGACGACGCTGGGCGACGAGGACGACGACGCCGACGATGACGATGAACGACGGCGACCGACGACGACCGACCGACGCCGACGGGCGACGACGACGACGGACGACTGACGACTGACGACGGACGACGGACGACGAACGATGGAGGACGCCGACGACGACGACGAGGACGATGACGACCGGCCGACGCCGACGCCGACGCCGCCGACGACGCCCACGGGCGACAACGGACGACGGGCGACGGACGACGGGCGACGGACGACGGGCGACGGACGACGACGGAGGACGACGACGGAGGACGACGACGACGACGACGACGACGACGACGACGACGACGACGACGGTGCCGACGACAACGACGACAGACGACGGCAACGACGACGGACGTCGCCGACGACGAAGACAACGACGAGGACGACGGACGACGACGACGACGGACGACCGGCGACGACGACGACGACGACGACGAACGCCGACGACACACGACGAACCGATGACGACGACGACGACGACTCAGGCGCACACGGACGACGACGAACGACGACGGACGCTGGCTAACGCACGACAGACGACGAAGGACGGACGACGAGGACGACGAACGACAAACGATGACTACGACGACGACGACGACGAATGTCAACGACGACGACGCCGACAACGACGACGACGGCGACGACGACCATGAACGACGACGTCGGACGACGACCGACCGACGCCGACGCCGACGCCCGCTGGCGACGACGACGACGAAGGACGACGGACGATGACGACGACCGACGACGGACAACGGACGACGGACGACGGACGACTATGGACGACGACGACGACGGAAGCCGACGACGATCGATGACGCCGACAATGACGACGAACGACGACAACGACCGACGACGACCGAGCGACTCCGACGCCAGCGCCGTGGGCGACGCCGACGGGCGACGACGGCGACGGACGACGGACGACGGACGACGACGACGGACGACGGACGACCGACGACGTACGACGGACGACGGACGACGGACGACGACGACGACGGCGACGGCGACGACGACGACGACGAATGACAAAGACGATGGACGACCACGGCGAAGACGACGACAACTACGACGTCCGACGGCGACGATGGTAGGGACGACGACGTCTCCGACGCACACGGTCGACGAACGAGGACGGACGATGGATGACGACGAAGACGACGAATCACGAACGACGAACGACCGCCACGACGAATCCGACGACGACGGTGGACCACGACGACGGCGACGGACGACGGACGGACGACAGACGACTGGCGACGACGACGACGACGAACGACGCACGATGACGACAACGGCAAATGGGGCGACGACAACGACGGACGACGTCGACGATGACGACGACGGACGACGACGATGAACGATGACGTCGATGAGCGACGTCGACCGACCGACGCCGACGCCGACGCCGACGGGCGTTGTCGTCGACGGACGCCGTCCGCGGAAGACGGGCGACGGATTGCGGACAACGGACGACGGACGACGCCGACGTCGACGGAGTCGACGACGGACCACGAGCGACGACGATGACGACGCCGACGGACACAGATGACGACGACAGGACGACGACGGTGACGAACGACGACGACCGATGACGACCGACAGACGCCGACGCCGATGCAGACGCAGACGCCGATGCCGGGCGTCGACGTCGACGTCAACGGACGAAGGACGACGGATGACGGACGACTACGACGAACGTCGGACGACGGACGACGACGACGACGACGACGACGAACGACCACGACCGACGACACCAATGCCGATGACGACGACGCCACGGGCGACGATGACGACGGACGACGGACGACGGACGATGGACGAGGGACGACGGGCGACAGACGACGTACAACGGACGACGGACGGCGTGGGAGGGAGGACGGACGACGAACGACGACGACAACGACGACGACGACGGCCGACGACAACGACGACGGACAACGAACGACAGTCGACGGACGAAAGACGACGGACGACCTGCGATGGACAAAGATGACGGACGACGAACGACGGACGATAGACGACGGACGACGTGCGACGGACAACGGACGACGAACGACGGGCGACGGACGACGACGACAACAAGAACGAACGACGACAACGACGACCACGACGACGACGGATGACGACGACGACGAAGATTACGAACCACGATGACGAACGACGACGTTGGCGACGACGACGACGGCGGACGACAACGATGGCGACGACAACGGCGGCCAAAGACGCCGACGCCGACGACCGACGACGACCGACGACGACGGGCGCCGACGACGCCGACGACAACGACTACGACGGGCGACGACGACGACGACGACGGGCAACGGACTTTCGACGTGCTACGACCGACGAACGACGGGGGAAGGAGGACGGACGACGCACGACGCACGACGCACGACGACGACGACGAACGACTACGACGCGTACGACGACGACATCGGACGACGGACGAGGACGACGACGACGACGACCGACGACGACGACGACGACCACGGACGACGTCGACGACGACTACGACGGACGAGGACTACGAGGACGACGATGACGACGGACGACGAAGACGACAGACGACGGGCGACGGTCGACGACGACGACGACGACGAATGCTGACGTTCCATGACAAGCGGCCGCCGACGACGACGCCGACGCCGACGGAGGGCGGAACACGACGATAGGCCACGGACGGAGGACGACGGACGAAGAACGGCAGTCGACGGACGACGAACGACAACGACGACGACGACGGACGACGAACGATGTCGACGACGACGACGACGACGACGGACGATGACGACGACGGTGACGACGACGACGACGACGACGACGACGACGGACGACAGAAGACGAGACGAGGAGGATGACGATTAATAACGACGACGACAACGACGACGATGACGATGGCGAACGACGACGACCGACGACGACCGACCGACTCTGACGCCGACGCCGACGCCGACGATCGACGACGTGGACGAACGACGACGGGCGACGGACGATGAACGACGGCGGACGACGACCACGACGACGATGACGACGAACGACGAGCGACCACGACGACGACGACGACGGGCGACGGACGACGACGACGATCGACCGACGCCGACGCGGACGCCGACTTCGACGAACGACGGATGCGATGGGCGACGGAGACGCTGTCGGCTACGGAAACGTCGACGGACGACGGGGGAATGAGGACGGACAACGGGCGACGCACGACGCACGACGACGACGAACGACGACGACGACATCGGACGACGGACCACTGACGAGGATGACGACGACGACCGACGACGACGACAACGACCACGGACGACGATGACAACGACGACGCCACGGAAGACGCACGCCGCACGACGACGACGACCAAGGCGACAGACGACGGACGACGGGCGACGACGACGACGACAACGTCGACGAACCCCGACGACCGATGACAAACAGACGATGACGACTCCGACGCCGATGGAGGGCAGAAGACGGACGATGGACCACGGACGGTGGACAACGCACGAAGAACGCTGGACGACAGACGACGAACGACAACGACGACGACGACGACCGACAACGACGACACTGATTGACGAACGACGAACACGACGACAGACGATGCCGACGACGACGACGACCACGACGGACGATAGAATACGAAGACGACGATGACGACGACGAACGACGAATGACGACGAACGACGACGACGACCGACGCTGACCCGGACGCCGACGCCGACGCCGTCCGGCAACGACGTGGATGAACGATTGATTGTGGACGACGGGCGACGGACGACCACGACGACGACGACCACGACGACGAAGACGACGAACGACGTCGGACGACGACGACGGCGACGACGGGTGATGGCGACGGGCGAGGACGGACGACGGACGACAGGCGACTGACGACGAATCACGGACCACGGACGATGACGACGGACGACAGGCGATGACGTTGAGGGACGATGACGACGACGAACGACTATTGACGACGACGACGACGACGACGACTACTACGACGACGACGACGAGGGGCGACGACGACGACGACGGGCGACCACGACAACGACGGCGGCGACGACGACGGACGACGTCGACTCCGACGGACGACGGACGACCGACCACGGGCGACCGACGACGGTCGACGGACCACGGACGACGGCCGACTGACGACGCACGACGGACGACAGTGACCACGACGACGGCGACGTCGACGACGACCGACGACGAACGACGACGACGACACCGACGACGACGATGGACGACGGATGACGACAGAGACGACGACAGCTATCGACGACGAACGACGACGCCGACGATCGATCGACGACGGCGATCGACCAACGACGACAAACCGACGACGACGAACGACGACGACGACGGACGGCGGACGACGGACGACGGACGACGGTCCTCGGACGACGGGTGACGGACGATGGACGACGCCAACGACATTGACGAACGACCAACGAGTAACGACGACGACGACGAAGGCAACGACGGACGACGGACGACGTCGACAACGACGACGAGCGACTGACGACGGACGACGGATGACGATCGATGAACGACGGATGACGTAAGACGGTGATGACGACGACGACGATGACGACGGACGACGACGACGACGACGACGACGACGACGACGACGACGACGACGGACGACGACGACGATGACGACGGACGACAGTGACCACGACGACGACGACCACAACGGACGACGGACGACGGACAACGATGACGACGACGACGACGAACGACGACGGACGACGACCACGACGATCGTCCGACGCCGACGCCGACTCCGACTTCGAGGGACGACGGATGCGATGGGCGACGGACGACGCGGTCGGCTACGGAAATGTCGGCGGACGACGATCCCGACGACTGACGACCCTGACGTCGACGAAGGACAGCAGATGACAGACGACGACGTCCATGGACGGCGGGCGACGACTCCCCTCGGCAGGCGCAGGCGCCAGAGATGGAGGGCGGGCCGCTCGCCCCTGGAGAGGCGCGCCCCCTGCCGCGGAGCTTCCCTCGGGGGGTCGTCGATCCTCGATCCTGGATCGGTCACCGAGGGCCGAGGGGGCGGGGAGAGGACGAGGACCAGGAGGAGGAGGAGGAGCAGGTGGAGGAAGAGGAGGAAGAGCAGGTGCAAGAGGAGGGAGGGAGGGCGGGTGAAGGAGGGGCGGGGGTGGCCAGAGTACGGTCGGACCGAGGTATAAGATCGAGGTCGGTTCGGGGAGGGTGCCCTGATGTTCTTCGTGCTGGTGGGATGTTCTTGTGCATCCTGGGGGAGGGTGCCCTCGAATGTGCTTCAGATCGGCCGGTGGCGAGTTTCATGTTCTTGAAGGGTGCTCTTCTGTCCTGGGTTCGACTGTAGGCCGACGGTGCGTCAGCAGTGTTGCGGCACGCGGTCCGCCTCCTCGCGAGGCCATGCTCGCGCGCCTCTTCACCACGGGAAGCGCCCCGCTGAAATGCGAGCCCCCGTGGGATTGCCATCCATGCGAGGGCCCCGGTTTTGAAATGGGTCCGCATTCAATCCGTCTGACTGTAGGAGGTAGAAGTACAGCGGGGTGCGATGATTCACTTCCGAGGTCTAGGCAGCGATCTCCTCGCGGATACCGCAGGCACATCAAGCAAGAAGCTGGCCTGCTGGCGGGTACCCAACGAAAAATCCTTCCTCCAAGATGTCTGAGAGGGTCCCTAATGAACCTTGACGTGGTGGCAGCAGTTCTTCGCAAGATGAGCCGCCTCCCTGCAGGCAGGGCTATCAACGTCATGCCAAAGATCAGGAGCAGCTTCCACTCTGCAGACGCCTTTCCCTGGCGACATGCTTAGGGGGCCACGTGCGAACCCTACCCCTACCCCCCACGATTTCTGAGGCGGAAGGTAAGGGTTCACTTCGCTCGGAAGCGAACCCCACACTCCGCCTCAGAAATCGTGGGGGGTAGGGGTAGGGTTCGCACGTGGTCCTCCCAGAGCCCTGTGCCGGGCACGAGAGTGCCCCAACGGAAATCGGTCAGGCACCCGTGCAAGAGCAGATGCTCCCGTCTGGAGCGCGGACTGCCAGGGCAGCTTCTGCCACTCGGCGCGCCCAGGCAGCATCTGCCCCTCCCAGGCTGGGTGACCCGCCTGCCTGGCATCGCTCGGACGTGTGCGTTTGTCCTCTGCAAGGGCCATCGAGGAGCATCCTGGACCATCTTGCGGACAAACCAGCGCACGTCGCCGAAACATGCACGGTGAAAGTGGCGTCCGAGCGATGGCAAGACTGGGCCTCTGGGGCGATCCCTCCTCCCAGGGGCTCCAGCTGCCGTGGCTGCCCAGGACCGCCCCACGGGCTGGCAGCTGCAGTGGCCCGCGTGGCCTGCGCCTGCTCGGCGTGCACCGCCCCTGCACGACCGACAGGACCGACGCCGCTGCGCCTTTGCCCGACAGTCGGAAGAGGACGAGGTACTGCTAGCGCTAACTATCCTTGCCTCGTTTTTGCTTTTTTTTCGTCCTCGGTGGAGGCCGTCGTCACCAGCGCTCGATTTGCCTCGAGATCTGGGTCAGAACGCGCCCCGGGAGGTCCGTGGAGAAGCCGTATCGGTACCTTTTGGTCCTTCCGGACAGGTCCCCTACAGTGAAGGCGCTGAAAGTAGGGCCGCTTTGGGTTCGGGAGGGGCTCCTTGCTCCTTGGGTCAGTCCCCCTCGTGCCCCCAGGCTCTTTTATGTCAAAAGGGGCTTCATTCCCTTTTTGTTGCGTTCCTTATTGCAGCAGCTTGACTGTATGCACAGCCAGCTGCCTCGAAGCTCGGGCGAAATGCTTTGGACCACCTCTCGCGCGGCAGCTCGGAGCCCAGAGCTGCGAGGATGTCTCAGGCGAAACGCGCCGGACCACCTCTCGCGCAGCATCCCGAAGCTCAGAATTGCGCGGATGTCTCAGGCGAAACGCGCCGGTCCGCCTCGCGCGCGGCATCTCGCATTCTCGCAGCTCAGAATTGAGAGGATGTCTCAGGCGAAACACGCCGGACCACCTCGCGCGCGGCAGCTGACAGCGCAGAGTTGCGAGGATGTGTCAGGCGAAACGCGATGGACCACCTCGCGCGCAGCAGCTCGGAGGTCAGAGTTGTGAGGATGTGTCAGGCGAAACGGGCTGGGCCACTTCGCACGTGGCGTCCTGGAGTCAAGAATTTCGAGAATGTTTCAGACGAGGTACCCAATCCTGGCCACATCAGAAGCGAGAGTTGTTACGGTAGGTTTGCGTCGTGTCGACCAGCGGCGACCCCAGCGCGGGCGTTCAAGGTTGAACGCCGCCGGCGACCCAGAATCGATCGATGTTGAACGATTGGACGTTGCGGAGACGGCCGATCGTTCAAGGTTGAACGATCCCTGCGGTGTCAAAAACCAACGCTGGGGACGGCACGACACGAACCCGCCGTAGGATGTCTCAGACAAACGGCCAGGACCACCAAATTAACTTGAGGGTGTCTCTGCTCGCCCGCCCTTCGACTGGACCTAGCTACGACCACAGAAGCACCGCATCCAGCAATATGAATTGGGAATGACAAAGATGAGTAGGCTTCCAAGGGAATCATTTCATCCTTCCTTGCATTTTCGGCCCATCCTTTGCCATCATCTCTGGCCACTTTCATTCAAGCGGGTTCAGCTTGGGCGTCCAAGATTCTTGCATCCTTGCCGCACATCCCTAGGATCCTGTCGTGCTGGGGTCGGCACGACACGAACCCGCCGTAGGATGTCTCAGACAAACGGCCAGGACCACCAAATTAACTTGAGGGTGTCTCTGCTCGCCCGCCCTTCGACTGGACTTAGTTACGACCACAGAAGCACCGCATTCAGCAGTATGTTTTGGGAATATCAAAGAGATCAGTAGGCTTCCAAGGGAATCATTTCATCCTTCCTTGCATTTTCGGCCCATCCTTTGCCATCATCTCTGGCCACTTTCATTCAAGCGGGTTCAGCTTGGGCGTCCAAGATTCTTGCATCCTTGCCGCACATCCCTAGGATCCTGTCGTGCTGTAGTTCCAGTCGAGGTGCCATCGCGCAGAGACATCCTCAAAGCTTTGAGGTGAATTGGAGCGTTATGACTGAGATATCCTCACACAGTTCTGGGCTCCGAGAAGTCCTGGCCTGAGGTGGCCCGGCCATTTTCGCCTCAGACATTGCTGCAACTCTAGGCTCAGAGGGGCCGCAAGCGACGTGGTCCGGCTAGTTATTTCGCGTCACATCCTCGCAGCTCTTGGCTCGGAGATGCCGCGCGCGAGGTGGTTCAATGGGCCCTTGGGGGCTCGGGGGGCTCCGACCCTCCAAAACAGACCCCCCTCCTCAGGTGTACCGGGCCCCCCTCGGTATCTGACTGATGGTGGGGGGTGCGTGCAATGTTCTGCCTTTTTCGTGGGTTTCCCAGGGCCCTCGAGGATCCGCTTCTGAGCCTCTTGGGTTGAGCATGGGCATGTCCGAGGCTGAATCGACGAATCGTTGAGTCGTCGAGTCCCGTTGTCGCATATCCCCTGCAGCGGCTGGGCCGGCAGCGGCCGCTGTTGCGAGAAACAAGTTGCACGCGTGCCCTGGCTCTTGCACCAAGGAGCTGCGAGGGACAGGAGGCTTTCGCCTCCTTCCCCCAGGAGTTTCCTCGGGGGGAGGACGACCGACGAACGACGAACGAAAATACAGAGGTTCGAGCTCTAGAACACATCTTTGCAAGAGAATAACGAGGTCCGAGTTCTAGAACACAGCTGTGCAACCCCTCCCCCTCCTCCTCCTCCTCCTCCTCCTCCTCCTCCTCCTCCTCCTCCTCCTCCTCCTCCTCCTCCTCCTCCTCCTCCTCCCCCTCCTTGGGCCAGGACCAGGGGGGAGATCACGGAAGCCGGGGGGGGAGGCCTGGGTCTGGAAGATTCGCGGCCCAGGAGAGGAGGGGGAGGAGAGGCGGGAGGCTTGGGGCAAGGACCATGAGGGGCCAGGGGGGAAGTCATGGAGGCCCGGGGGGGGGGGGGAGGACGACGAACGGGAGGCCGGGTGGGGGGGAGGACGACGAACGGGAGGCCAGGGGAGGGAGAGCGAGGGGAATTGGGTCCAGGGAGTGGGTTCGCGAGGCCAGGGGGGGGGAGCAAGGGGAGCTGGGGAGGGCTGGGTCCAGGGCAAGGCCAGGACGGCCAGGGGGGAGGTCGAACGACGAATGAACGACGACCATGAACAAAAAAAAGAGGCCAGGGGGGGAGGACGACGGACGGGAGCCCAGAGGTGGGAGAGCGAGGGCTGGGTCCAGGGAGTGGGTTAGGGAGGCCAGGAGGGATAGAGCGTGGGGGGCTGGGGAGGGCTGGGTCCAGGGAATGGCCAGGACGGCCAGGGGGGAGGACGAACGAACGAACGACGAGCGAAAATGAAGAGGTCCGAGCTCTAGACCACAGCCGTGCAAGAGAATTTTTAAAAATGATCTCGCAGGACCCCCCAGTGTCATCGTCGTCGTCGTCTTCCTCCTCCTCCTCCTCCTTGTCCTCCTCCTCGTCGCTGTCTTCGTCCTCTTCCTCCTCCTTCTCGCTCGTCGTCTTCCTCGTCCTCCTCCTCCTCCTCCTTCTCCTCCTCATCATTCTCAATGTGTGCCTTCCGAGGTGGAGTTCATCGACTGGTGGGGGGACCTGGTCAGCTACCGCGGCAAGATGCTCCGCACTAAGAGCGGGGCGGAGCAGCGGGACCCCGTCCTGGCGCGCGCACGTCTGTGCTCTCACTGTCCACTGCGCGGCGACGAGAGGGGTAGAAAGAGGAGAAGGAGGAGGAGGAGGACAAGGAGGTGGAGGAGGAGAAGGAGGAGGAGGAAGAGGAGGAGGAGGAGGAGGAGGAGGAGGAGGAGGAGGAGGGGGACGAGGAGGGGGAGGAGGGGAGGAGGGGAGGAGAGGAGGAGGAGGAGGAGGAGAAGGAGGAGTAATTAGGAGGTGGAGGAGGAGGAGAAGGAGGAGGAGGAGGACAACGACGATGGCGACGGCGACGACTAGGCGTGGAAGAGTCGTTGGCGCGACGCGCGCCGCCCTGTGCGCGGCGAGGGTGGGGGAGGGGCAGCCGACAGGAAGGATCGTTTCGTCAGCGTCGGGGTAAGTTAGAAGGAGAAGCGGGGAGGAGGAGCAAGAGGACCCGAGCAGGCCCATGATGCACCAGCGATGCTGCAATTCACCCTCCCTTCCCAAGTCCCCTCCGCACATGTCCCTACAAGCTTTCATTTTCACTGCGAGAAGCGTCCCCCCCCGGACCCCCCCGCCCCTACAGATCAGCACGATTGGGCTTGCCATTTTGGCGAGAGCACCGTTTTGAAAAGACACGTTAGTTCAACGAGGTCTCCAGCGATATCCCTCTGTCGAATAAAGGGCCGCTCCCCACCTGTGAACCTGTTGTACCAGATTTACACCTGTGGCTCTGAACTTCGACGAAGTTCAAACATTTGAGAATGAGCCGCCCTGGATCCGCGTAGTGCTACATGCGTTGAAGTTTCAGCTGTTCGGTTGAAGCTCGCGACGTCTCCAGAGAGAGCCCCATCTGGGAAACGGACGGCCCCCCTTCATCTCTCGAAATGTCGAACTGTCGCTTGAAGAACTCGGCTGTGCTTCCCACCTAGGCGAGAGCCCCATTTCTAAACTGACTTGTGTTTAATCCTTTGTAGCTGCTGCCAGGGATTCATACAAATGCGCTCGGTGTTAAGGCGAGAGCACCACTTTGACAATGAACCGTCCTCAATCTTCCATATTCATGGTCTGTGTGTAGACGCTGTGCGCAGCGCTGAGGCGGGAGCAACATTGTCAACACGACCTCTGTCATGCTTCCACCATGGTTTCACGTCATTCGAAAAGAGCGTTCGCATTTCTAAGACGAGAGCCTTTAAAAAGAAAGCACCCGTGCTCCATCCTGGAACCTAACTTTTAAGACGAATGCGAGCGAAGCTCAGGCGCACACACCACTTTGAAGAAGGGGCTGTCCTACATGTCAGAAGCTGCTGCAAACTGTTAAGGCGAATGTGCGCGGCGCTGCGACGAGAGCCACATGCTGAAAAGGAAGATCCGTCCATCCTCGAGATGTGCTACAAACTTGTAATGCGAATGTTTGCGGCGCTAAGGCGATCGCCACATTTTGAAAACGACTTCCCATCCTTGAGTATGTTGCGCACTGTTCAGACGAAAGAGCGCAGCGCCAAGACGAGAGCCAACTTTTGAACACTTCCCGTGCTCCATCCTTGAAGTTGTGACGAACCTTTCGGACGAATCTTTGCGGCGCTCAGGCGGGCCGCATTTTGAACATTGAAAGCCATCCGCTCTTCGTCCTTGAAGTTGTTGCATACGACAAGCCTCATGGTTATAACTGGTCAGCAAATCCCGCGCTCCACGCCAGTGCCGCCCTGCCGACACGCCCGCCCTCGGAGACCAGGACACAGGTGAACCAGGACACGGAAACCCAAAGAAACGACCTTGCTTCCTGCAAAGTCGCATTTTTCAGCACCAGTGCGGTTTTTGTTGGCTGCACTGCAGGGTGCGGGTTTGTGTCCGGGTTTAGGAGGGTATTGCAGGCTTTCAGGGCTTGTGTTTATTCTGGAAGTGTTGCACTGCAGTATTTTGTTCGTGCCGCCGTCTGGAAGAATTTGTTTCGAGGGATGTTGGGTGCCCGGGTCTAGCGTGTCCGGGTTTGCGGGGCCCTGTACCCGGGGGGTGCGACTGAGGAGGGCCAGCCGCGTGGAGCGGGCCCCCGCTGGCGCCGGTGGCGGGGCGCTCCTGCGCCGCCGGCAGTATACCGCGCACCCCGAGGGAGCGGCGGGAACTCCCGAACGCCAGCGCCCTCGGGGTGCGCGAGTGCCACCGACCGCGGCCCCGCGGAGCGGCACCGTGACGGAGGGCCGATGCTGAGGCGGGGCTCTCCCTGCACTCCGAGGCCTGCAACGCCTCAGGCGCCTCCGAGGGACCGGTGGAGGCATCACTCGCAGAAGCTCTCGCGAGGTGGCCTGCTTGCGAGCGACTGCCAACAGCAACCGTTCAATGGACCACGGCTTGCCGTTCAACATATTGCACTATGAACAGCCGCCCCCACGTCCCTGGACCAACCTCCAGACCACCTGGACCCCAGACCACCCCCCCAGACCAACCGGACCACCTATGGATTGCACCTTCCGGGTCACCCAGACCACCCCACGGACCGCCCGGACCACCCAGACCGCCCTGACGACCCGGAGCACCCAGACCATAACAGGACCGCCTGGACCACCCACCCGAGCTGCCCGGACCATTCGTTCCCCCCGGACCACCCAGAGACCCCCTGGACAGGCCGGACCCGAACCACCCGGTCGGCCGGATCACGGCTCAGCCACCCCCGAGCCACCCAGACCATGCGGCCCGTGCAGATTATACCCAGACCAATCCGACCACCCGGACCGCTCGGACCACCTGGACCCGTCGGACCATCTGAACAATGGCCCGGACTATGATTCCATGGTTCTGGCTCTGGTTCTGGCTCTGGTTCTGGTTTGGGCCTGGCCGTGTGTGCAGAGTCAGAGCCTTCCTTCAGTCATCAACCTCGCCCATCTCTAGGTGTGGTCAACCGGAGAACTCCCTTTCTCTCCGCTTCTGCTCCTCGTTGCGCCGCTCGCGCTCCCCTCCGGCTCTTATCCTTCGCCCCACTTCTCTATCCTTAGCCGCTCCCTGCTCTAATTCTCCGTCATTCGCTTGGCCCCGGAGGTGGCCCTCGAGGCTTTGGCATCGGACCTCCCCTCCTCTCTTCTTCGCCCCCCCCACCTGCGCGACTGTCCAGACCTCTGCGCCTCCCGCGAAAAGTTCGCGAGAGTCCGGGCCCCCCGCGCAGAACTCGCGAGAGTCCCTCGAAAGCTTCGCATGAATCCTTCGCGCCGTGCACTGTCCTCTGAGGCGCCTCCCGGGCTACCTCGCCCCCGTGAAACCCCCCTGGGCGATTCGCAAGGGCTGTTCCCGCGCGAGACCACCCCGGGCGACTCGTGCAGGAACTGAGCGGCGGAGACCCCCCCGGGCGATTTCACCGCTCGGATCGACCCCCCCGGGCGAGTCGGCCCGTCCTGGAACCCCCCCGGGCGATCCAGGACCCGCCGCGCCCTCCTAGGCGAGCGGGGGCGCCTACGGGAAAAAAAACCGCTTAAGCTCCCTTTTGAGGGAACTGTGGCGGGGGCGATCGGCGCCGGGGCGGCAGTCGAACCCCCCCGGGCGATCGACCGCGGCAGATCCCTCCCACATAAAAAAAACACAAGAAAACACAACAAAACACAACGCAACATAAAACAAAGACAAACAAACATAAAACAACACCGGACGGATCATAACAACATACAAAAGAAACAACAACAACACCAACAACAACAACAACAACACCACCAACAACAACAACAACAACAACAACACCAACAACAACAACAACAACAACAACAACAACATCAACAACAACAACAACAACAACAACAACAACACACACACGCACACAACAAATAATATATTATGGCTCTGACTTTGCACACCTAAGTCTGGTTTTGGCTCTGGGTCTGGTTCTGGGCTCTGGCGCTGGTTTCGTGTTTGACTCTAGGACCTTGAAGTTGGATCTGGCTGTGGTTCTGGCTGTGGTTCTCGCCGCGGCCTGGCCGAGGCTCTGGCTCGGATAAAACTGTATGTAGTTATGGCTGTAGTTATGGTTCTGGCTATGGTTCTCGTTCTGGTTCGTTTTTTATTGTGCTGTGGCTATGATTCTAGTCTTGGCTCTGGGTCTGATTCTCATTTGGGTTGTGCCTGCGGCCTGGTTCAGGCTTCGAATCGGGTCCCGATTATGGTCCTGGCTTTCGCTCTGGCTCTGGTTATGGCTCTGGCTCTGGCCCTTGTTTTGGGTCTGGGTCTGGCTCTGATTCGGGTTGTGGCCTGACTCAGGCTGTGCATCGGGTCCCGACTCTGGATCTAGCTCTTGTTCTGGCTCTGGTTCTGGCTCTGGCTCTGGCTTCGCTTGTCGTCCTGGCTCTGGATCTGGCTCTGGCCCACTGAAATCTGGCAGCGGCTCTGGTCGCCACTGCGGTTGCGGCACAGATCTGGCTTTGGTCCTGGTTCTGGCTCTGGATACAGCTGGCCTTGCGTTGTGCTACAGATGCGGCTCTGGCCGCGAGACCAGGTTGTGGTTCGGGCTCTGGATGCGGGCGTCGGTGCGACGCGGGACAGCAGAGACAGGGCAGAGCGAGGAGGTGGTAATCGTGTCTTCCCTTTGCAACGTTGTCGTCGTTCGTTCGCTGTGGCCCTCCCCAGAGTCCTCCGTGAAACCTCTGGGGGGCCCCAGGCACCTCCGGGGACGCCCTCGCTGTCTCTTTTGGGATATCCGGCGGGTGGGAGGAGGAGGAGGAGGAAGAGGAGGAGGAAGAGGAGGAGGAGCAAGGGGAGGAGGAGGAGGAGGAGGAGGAGGAGGAGGAGGAGGAGGGGGAGGGGGGGAGGAGGAGGAGGAGAGGAGGAGGAGGAGGAGGAGGAGGAGGAGGAGGAGGAGAGAAAAGAGGGAGAGAGAAGAAAAGGAGGGATGCCCATGTGTGTCGCCGCGGGGGTGCGCGGAGAATGCTCCTCGCGCACGCCTGCGAGCGGCGCGGCGAAAAGAGAAATTGAAACATCGCATCGTGCATCCGCTGCACTCGCTGCTTGCCCACTGTGCTGATCGCCCCCGAGCGCCTCCGCCA